TTTCTCCTGTGCGTTTTCCTGAAGGCCTCTGATTCTTATTGCATGTTCCATTTCTCTAAATTGTGCCATTACAACATCACTTTGAACAATCTCTATAGTTTCTTCTACTTTTTCCATTCTCTCCTCCACCCCTTCCATTTTTTCTCCTATTTCCTCCACCCGGTTCTCTATACGATCCATATGAAAAGCAAAGCCCTGACAGATTTGAGACATATTCTCACATAGTTCATCATTCTTTTTAGCAAGCAACTCTTCTGTCTCCACTCTTACTTGCTGTACAATTTGTTTGGACATCTGCATCTGCATCTGCATCAAAGAGTCCTGTAAGTACTTTAAAGTAATATAAGGTGGTGAAGAGGGTGGGGGAGTTTTAGCTCTCTGTTGTGTGGCCTGTACAACTGGAGAGGAAACAGCTGACTTAAGTGCTGGAGGAGCTACACCACATTTAGAAGCCATTCTGAAGAATATTCACACACATTCCTTATATATAAACTCCTTACTTAATTTATTAGATTTTCCCCAAATTCTTTTCTCCATTGAATTAAATCTCAAGAGTAAATTCTTATGGATGTATATGTTTATAAATAAATTCCTTCAAAACATATTCCAGTATTTCATTTATTTTTCACAAGTTTAGCACTGCATACCTACTACTATATTTCTGATTCTTCATTTTACAATGCATAAATGAGCATATAGGAATTATTTCCTGAAATACAAATTTGGAGTTAATATGAAGCATCCCAAATAAAAGGTAAAAAGAAACTTAACTAGCTTTGTTAAATAGTATTTAATATAAATAATAATATTTATTTAACTTACGTGGACAGTTTTTTACACAAGTTGCTCCAAAACTGTACTTTCCTTCTGGGTTATCTTCCAATTGATAAGTATAGGGATTGTATATTTGTAAAGCTGGGCAAGACTCCTTGCAAGTTGCATCATCCCAAAACTTGCGACATGCCTATAAAAAGGTAATCCAAATAATCTTTTGTTTTAACAATGTCAGGAAATGACAACAGTGGATTTTAAACAATTACATAAGACTAAAATTCAAAGAATTCAATATTCCATCCATCCAAGCATTAATGTAGACAGACAAGACAGAAACATTATTTTTGTCATTGGCCAATAAAGATACATTCAATAAAATAAACAACACAAACTATCCCCTAACAACAAGAATTATTGTGGGCAAAGTTTACACATAATGTACACATAAGAGAAATAAATTTATTTTGATGGTGTAACAGATCAGTGTTCCAGAAATTTGACTAAAGGTGGAATAATCAACTGGTTATGAATATTCTTGTAGAATTGGCGATACAGAAGAACATGGCTCTTCTGTATTGCCATCTATGGTATTCATTTTCACAAAAGCAATAATGAGTTTCCTATGGAGTTTTCCTATATTTCTCTTCCAGGACAGATGGGAGGAGACCAAATAAAAAAAATGTAAATATAATATGGGACTAACTAAAAACAGCTAGGATAATTATAACTAAAAGAAATGGTAGTCAGTTATATTATGTCAAAATACAACCTTACTGAATTTTCAATTTAAGAATGAGATTAAAGCACAAAGACTTATTTTTTCTATATATTTGTTATATTACTTTTTATTGCTTTATTTATTGTAGTTAATACTTTAAAAAAAAAATAAGCACAGTAATCTGATTTTTTATTTCCTTTTTTATATTGCTAAAACGCTAGGCAAGTTTCTATAGCTTCCTTACCAAGCAGTCACTTTCTTTAGGACCTGTACATCCTGCTGCGCACTGAGTATGACAGCAGTCACTTGGCAATCTTCCCTTGCATCGACCTGAGCACTGTGCTGCACAGTCAATCTTAGTTACTGAAAGTTGAAAATAGCACAAGTTAAACTACATGTTTTACAAATAAAAATATTTATTAAAATATTTGAACGCCTTTCAGAAATCATAAATATTATTTGATTGAGTCACAGTTTAGTTACAGGTAGTTTGTATGGTCACTATGGTTATAAAAAGATGGATATAGAAAAGATGTTGAGACTCTGGAAAGAGTGCAGAGAAGAGCCACACAGTTGATTAAGAGGCTGGAGGCTAGAACTTATAAACAATGGTTGCAGGAATTAGGTATGTCTAGTCTAGTGAAAAGAAGGACTAGGGGTGACATGATAGCAGATTCCAGTATTTAAGGGGCTACCATAAAGAAGAACGGGTTTTCAAAGCACTAGAAGGCAAGGTAAGAAACAATGGATAGAAACTAATCAAGGAGAGAAGCAACATGGAATTAAGGAGAAACTTCCTAACAGTGAGAACAATCAACCAGTAAAACAGGTTGCCTTCAAGAGTTGTGGGTGCTCCAGCATTGGAGGCTTTTAAGAAGAGACTGGACAGCCATTTGTCTAAAGTGGTATAGGGTCTCCTGCTTGAGCAGGGGGTTAGACTATAAGATTTCCAATGCCTGTTCAACTCTGATGATGTTCTGTTTTTGACCAGCAAAGTCAATGGGGAAGCTAGATTCACCTAACTACTGTTTTACTTAACAGCTGTAGTAGTTCACTTAACAGCTATGACAAGAAAAATTATAAAATGGGGCAAAGTTCACTTAACAACTATCTCACTAAACAACCAAAATTTTGGGCTCAATTATGGTCATAAGTTGAGGACCTGTACACTGTGTCTTTCTGAGACCTAGGAATCTGAAACCAATGGAAACAAGATTTACATTTTGCTTTTGCAAAATGAAGCATAATCAGCTGATCATTATGGTATAAGAGAACAGGCCAGAAGATATAAAAAGTCTATTTAATTTACTTACACATGAAATCACTATCCTATCCTATCCTATCCTATCCTATCTCAACAGAAGGGGGGAAAACCCAATGTATGTTCTTACATATTTGGCAATTCTTTTCGCCAGCACCCCAACAATGCCCTCTTGTGCAATTCGGATGACAAGGAGAACCTAAGGGGGAAAAATACAGAATGTCTCTGAATATTATAAATATATTCATGCCAATTTTATGGAAAGCTCAAGTTTTATAGGAAACTTTTTTTTCACAAGTCAATAACAGCTGTCAGTTTTGAAGTCACATTCTGGGCACTATGAATCCCAAACCCAGTATTTTACCAATTGCCAAATCTTTCATGCTTTGCTTTCATGTGGATCTCTAAGTATTATCACTTGCATTCAACTAATCAGTGGTGTCATGTTTATTAATAGTTGAAAACTGGACCGTTTAAATAAAATTATTTATTTACCAATACTGTTTATTTAAAATTATTTATATATGCTCTGCAATAAAGCTGAATATTGATTTCTAAGGGTAAGAATGAGTATCAGAAAAATAAATGAAAGCTTACGTCAAGGAAACAAATACATTTTCTTTGGGGATTTTTTTCTTCCAAATTTAAGATACATTTACATTCCAGGCCGTACGGGTCTGGATGGGGAGGAACAGACTCAGGCTCAACCCTTCCAAGACCGAGTGGCTGTGGTTGCCGGCGTCTCGGTATGGTCAGCTGACGCCATCGCTGACTATAGGGGGCGAATCTTTGGCCCCCTCAGAGAGGGCGCGCAACTTGGGAGTCCTCCTGGATTCACGGCTGACTTTGGATGACCATCTGTC